GGCTATAATGCTGGATGATTATTTATTTATACACTTATTATTCATAAGTATGCAGTGTCAACTACATCTCTGACGTTTATAACAAACCAAACCGTTTGAAAATCGGTAGAAAATTGAGCAAGTTATGGTTATTTAAAAAGTACATGCACCATTAAAACACAATGTTACGACTGAGCGAGCTGCCTGTGACAAGATGGCCGCCAGGTGCGGACGTCGACCTCCATTGGCCAGCAGCGCGGACAAGACATCGTCTAGCCTTTATTATGGATATCTATGGTTGAGCGTACATCGGTTGTACACTCCTTATTGCAGTGCATTGCGGGATTGAATGGGTGTACTTGCATCCACTATGGTTTCGGAGACCACTACAAATGGCTGTCCCATCAAGTAGTGCCCAATTTAAGGGGGCGATTTCAGACACAGCTGGAGTCATTTGCTTCCTGTTATTTTTAGCTGTACATAACAGCTCATTATGCTGCTTGATATTGCAAACTGTTATTTCTTACCATATTATTTTAATGTAGTGTCTCAATTAAACACGCTGGTTTAAAGCGTGTTCTGTGTTTAAAAATAAGGTGGGTAGAGCACTGTGTGTGTGTGTGTGTGTGTGTATTCTGGGATATGGAGTCTGAGGTGGTCGTATTTGAATGCTGAGGTGCATGCTGTGAATTAGCTCACTGACCTGACAGTAAGTAAATAAATAAATGAAGCATATTTATTTTATTTCCATGTCTCAACAATCTCTAGACCTTTCCTTCACCTTGCTCACACTCAGTGCCAGTGGGATCGGATGGCCTTGAGGTGCCTGCCTCTGCCTGTATGTTGTGGACTCGCTGTACCTGAGCAAAGGTCAACTCTGCCCTCATAAACACAAACTGCTAAAGGCCAGACATGACTGACCAATGTCACTTTGTCAAATACACCTCATGACAGTTGGAAAAAGCAAACAGTGCCCAAAACCATTTAAAAATCTAGCAAAGTCAGACAAACTGACGTATTTAACATTCATCTGTAAATGTCAAACACCTCACAAATGACTGTACAACATGAGAGCAAACATTTCTATTGGTTGATTAGTTTAGATTCAGAACTACTTTTGACTATAAAGGGGCCAGAGAAAAGTGCTTGAGACAAAACATGGCAAATGCAGAGGCAGGTTTTTGAAAGATTGTTGGGAATAATGGTTAGTAATCATAAAAGAGCCAGCGGAGGAGATGTCAGAGATAAAGCTCTTAATGCACACACTTACCTCTCTGTTCACCTGAGGACATGCTGCTGTCAGTCAGTATGACAGACAGACGGACAGGCCTAATGGGTTCGCTCTGTCTCATTCATGCACACATACACTCCCCCTGGCTCTCTTTGTCTGAACAGACTGTTGCCCATTCCAACTGCAATAAGAATAGATTTTATTTTTTGTGTGTGGCTTTCACAAGCCAAAAGAACTAAAGGGGCATGTGAATAAAATAGATGTTGAACATTGAAAACTGAACGGAAGCACTTTAGAAGTGAGAAGAGGTTATTAAGAATGAAGAAATTACAATTTACTAGTACCAAATATACCTGTTTCTTCATTGTGTCCTTACTTTGATCCAAATGTTTCAAACAGACGTGATTTCATGTGATCAATGCCCATCCAACTAATATCCAACAAAAGCCAGGTCCTTCATGACATCATCCTCCTGGAAGTGACATCATTTTGGCACAGCACAAACATCAGTAAGCAAGTCCGTGATGTTTTGTGGTATTAATTGGTTTGTCTCACTCTAAAACATTCAATCTGTTTGATTAAAAAAAACTTTCATTATAACTGATGCTATAGAGATGGAGGCAGGTTATAGAGGTGGAAGAAGGAAGTTTTGATGATACAGTTATATTCAATCAGTCAAATACAGTATCTTGACTCTTAGAGTGATGGACTTGTGAACAGTGGATGACGGTTTAAACAGAAGTCAATCAATGTCTCAACACAGATTAGATTGAGATGAAAGAAGAGACGTTTTTTTTAGCCTATAAAAGAGCAAAGAAACCTATTATGCTCACCAAGGCTGCATTTATTTGTTTAAATCAGTTAAATTAATAATATTATTCACATTTAAAATAGCTGTTTTCTATTTGAATATATTTTCAAATGTAATTTATTCCTGTGATGGCAAAGCTGAAGTTTCAGCATCATTACTCCAGTCTTCAGTGTCACATGATCCTTATGAAATGTGTTGATTTGCTGCTCAAGAAACATTTTCTATTATTATCAATGTTGAAAACAGTTGTGCTGCTTAATAATTTTGTGGAAGCCATGATTTTTTTGTAACTGTAAAAGTCTTTACTGTCACTTTTGTCAATTTAAATACATCATTACTGAATAAAAGTATTACTTTCAACAACAACAAAATAAATTCTGACCCCTTACCTTTGAAGTACTTTTAAATGTATATATTTACATTTAATTTTCATTTATTCAATTATTATTCAGGTACATTTTTTAGGATGGATGTTTTTAGATATAGTGTAAAATATAAAGCAATAAAGCCCATATGTTAGCATGCACACTGCCCTCTGGTGTGTGTATGTATGTGTGCACACCAGCCATGTCCCAAATCATCACTATCACAGGCTCCCTGCCAGTGGCAATGACATCACCCACCTCAGAACACAGACTGACACTCACAATTAGCCTCTTTCTGTGTGGGTGTGACAGGACTGCTACATTCACCCCGCCTGACGACTTCTGAGACTGACCGCAATGACGGCCTGAATCTCCTCTGGGTTTTTAGTGAGGGCAGTGAAAGGTCCTGTGCCATTTCCAGTGGATTTCTTTCTCTCTTCGTACAAAAGGTACACAGCTCACAATTAAAGATGGGAATTGGTCAAACGGTGCTGAATAAATGTCTGGAATTAGTTTTGTGTTTTAAAGCTCATCTGCAGCATGTATCAAACAACTATTCCAAAACTTAAATAGCTGAAATATAGTCCCAAGTGTTCAGTAGACAGATGAAAAAAGTGAACTATTGCAAGAATGCGAGTCCTTAAACCCCCTGAAAATAATACAGCATGACACGGTTGACAGAAATAATTGGACATCAGATGATGTCATGTCTGAAGGTCTGAGTCTGCAATAGAGGAAAAACTCGACAATGATCTGATATGAAGTGTTTTGCCGCCATGGTCTACCTTTTCATACTTAAGCTGTGAGGGAGAGCTACAAATTGCACTGCAGCTCACACATGTACACATCTTTTACATTTTGGGAGTGGGAATGGAAAAATAACACTGACAACACAATATGCAGCGATGTAGGATGACCTCAAGAATTTGTTTTAGGGCCAGTTTTCTCTTCCATATTCCCATGCAAAATAAAATAAATAATATATAAATAGAAAAAAATATATATTGTTTTATTTATTTATAATTATAGCTGACATACATATTATTATTATTATTGATGAATATGAATATGATTATGATCATTTCTCTTCTATATTCCCCTGCAAAAAATGAAATAAATTTATTTATTTATTTTTAAATACATTTATTAAATTACTTCATTTTAGTGACCATATTATTATTATTCATGATAATTTTTAGTTATTTTGTACAACACTGGGATAACTGCTTATATTGATTTTCAAAAGCACTTTTAATATCCCATTTATATATACAAAATGAGTTTGAATGACTCTTGCTGCCAGCAAGGTCACAGTGATTTTGCTGTTCCTGGATCAACATATTTTGTTGATCCTGGAACAACTGTCAGAAAATTTTGTCCTAATACTAAACCTAATCCTACCCATAAATTATCCATAAAAAATGTTATCAGAGTAAAATGATAGGTGAATAATACTGATAGAAGCACCTAACCCTGGTTGGTTGCAAGCCTAAACTTCACATAAACTGTAAACATGTCCCTCAAATCTGATTGGTTGATTGGAATGTTGATCCAGGAACATGTACTTGGTAAAATCACGGTCACCCTGTCGGTCATGGTGCTTATGTTTCTGCAATTATTGTTGTCAATACTTTGGTATTACACATGTAATCTAAATGCGATCATGGCATATGCACAGGGCAGGTGGCGTAGCCAGCAGTGGTGCTTTACCCTGACCTGACCCAGAACCAGAACCAGGTGCTGGGCTGTGATTATGAGTCTCAGAAGACCATCCAGCCTGCAGCCTTCCCAGAGGCCTCCATATGGACACCAACTGCAATCTGTGAGGAACGCTTATGTTCACAAATGCTTTTCATCCACATAAATATGGACATGCCATGGTCATACGAAATGTAGTGAATGCAGTGTAGGTTACTATGCTTGATTTATTTGTCTCATTAAGATTCACGTGGTGCTGGATAAATGATTGTGTCAAAGAAAACACGTTTTGTTCCAGTCAAATGTGACGTGATATAAAGGATCTCTAAGAAACTTGTTGGTCCTTTTACAGTTACCGTCTCCAAATAAATCCATGTTTGTATATATTTAATAAACTCATTATTAAATATGACAGAATTGTTATCTTCCACCCAAAAATACAGGTTTATTCATCTGTATGTCGCATTGTTGACCAGACCAGGAACTCTTGTTTTGTTCCCTTGTATACTGACATAATTCCCATTGGCACTGGGTCACATTACATGCTGACACAGGGCACATTTTTTCCAGATAATTTTACTCAGACTGCCACATTGAATTAACTGTCTTACCGTTGAAAACAAGAAGCCGCCTGGACTGATTTACCCTAGGCAAGTTTTGAGGCATGAAATTCAGGCTGAAATTCAAGATGTTATTGAATGATGGGAAGCAGGATGCACACTTCAAACTATTTGCTATTATATGAGCTGAAATGGTGTGTGTGTGTGTGTGTGTGTGTGTGTGTGTGTGTGTGTGTGTGTGTGTGTGTGTGTGTGTGTGTGTGTGTGTGTGTGTGTGTGTGTGTGTGTGTGTGTGTGTGTGTGTGTGTGTGTGTGTGTGTGTGTCAGAGTGGGCTGGGTTATCAGAGCAGAGAGACAGAAGGCAGTTTGCGGTGGGCAGGAGAGAGAGTCACTCTCTTCATCTCAACTTTGCCCGGCGCAGTCGTCCACACACTGCTGCATGTCAGTGGCACTCTCTCTCTCTCTCTCTCTCTCTCTCTCTCTCTCTCTCTCTCTCTCTCTCTCTCTCTCTCTCTCTCTCTCTCTCTCTCTCTCTCTCTCTCTCTCTCTCTCTCTTCTTTCTGTCTTTGCTTTTCTCCTGATTTTGCTTGTCTAACATTCTTCTTGTTCAAGCGCCTTATTTTAGTTTCTCTTACACTCTTCTGCCAGAATAGTTATTTCTTCAGGTTGCTCTTTTCCTTATTATCTGTCCATCTTTCCCCACTTTTGTCAGTATCCTCTAATTTTATATCTGGAAGTCTGGTTTAATTTACTGTTCATATTTTATTTACATAACCTGGTGCTATTTGATGGTATCAGATGGAGTCAAGGCATCATGGACCTCAACCTCTAAGACCCACAAGGTAAAAATATCAGTTTAAATGTAATTTATTGTAATTTCCATTCTTTTCTTCGCCTTTACCCATATCCTCTGTGGTGAATCCTTTGGTGGTTATGATCCTTTCCTGTAAATTCTATTTCATCCATCACCTCTCTGTCGGTCTCCTCCTGTTTCAGTTGTCAACTTTACAATTTTGCCCTGATTTTGTCCCTTTGTACCTGTCCATTCGATTCATATCTATCTTCTCAACAGTTCAATTGTCTTTCTCAGAGCTTGTATCTATCTATCTATCTATCTATCTATCTATCTATCTATCTATCTATCTATCTATCTATCTATCTATCTATCTATCTATCTATCTATCTATCTATCTATCTATCTATCTATCTATCTATCTATCTATCTATCTATCTATCTATCTATCTATCTATCTATCTATGTTTATTCCAAGTTTGTCTTTTCACATCTTTTTTTTAGGTCACGCACCCTGCTGTTTTGGAACATTTTAGTTAGTTTAAGCTGTTTGTTAACTGGTCCAAGCTGATTAACTGGTTCAAGCTGGTCATTAGCTGGTTCAAGCTGGTAGACTTTGGACCACCAACAAACCAGCTACAGTTGGTTTTCCTTGTTTTTGGAACAAGGTGACTGATCAGCCTGCTAACCTTTCCTTTTTCACCTTACTTTTAATTAACAGCTTGGACCAGCTATAAACAAGCCATCTTCCAAAACACAACAAGCAACGTATGACTGCTTAGTTTTTTGTTTCAAATGGGCATATAGTTTGAAATTTACCTGGAAACATCAAGAGCATTGTAGTACTACGCTAAATTGATATGCATTTGTGAAGTGCATTTTATACCTGACCATCAAATAGGCTAGCTTGTTTTTATAAACTGCCATTCCTTTCTCAACATGACTCAGTTGTTTATCACTGATAATGATGTGTAATTATGTGAATAAGCAATGTGTTATATATGTTGGTCGACAAAAATAATAAGATAAACAAACATGACTGTTCTGCAGATGTTGTTAGCATTAGCTTGATGGAGAGCACTGAATGTTGCTGAATTAAACTGCCAGTTGAGGATGTGGACTACAGAGCTTGATGTGATACGGTGTGAAAGACTGTCCACTGAAGACCAAGCTCTTTATGAACAGTCACATCTCATTTGCAGAGGATGATCATAGGAGAAAGTCACTTTGGTATACAGCATTTTATCAGCAACATTCTTTCTTATTGCTCCTACCATACAGCCCAGCCATGCCTTTAGGTTGGCCCCACACAAATGGATGTGTGACACATGAAGGCCCAGGTCGGATGTTGCTGCGTGAGATGCTTTGGCAGCTGGAGCAAAGAGCACTTCAGGTTCAAGAACAGGAGTTCCAGTACTGCATCTCCCGTGGCATCATGGGATACCGTCACGCCCCAGCATACCCAAGCCTGCTTGCCCTCATCCCTGCTTCTGAACACCGCCAGCTAGAGCGCCTCTGTGGTCGCATCCCAGCCTCACACACTGCCATTGTACTTTCCAGGTAACTTTTTCTAAAATGACATAAAAGGTTTAGAAGGCAAGAAACTGCAGAATAATATTCTAATGCAGCTAGTTGCATTTGTCACTTCGCAAGTTTGTGTTTGTGCATTCCAGACAGATGTGCATAGGGATTCATGCTGTTTGTCTAAATATCAACACTGATGTGATTACAGTGCTTGTGTGATATTATATAAAAATTGCACCTATAATATTTTACTAAACGTTTTATTGTGGTCCATCAAGGCTCCATGATCTTTTGGCCAACAATAACATCCCTCCCTGGGAACTGGTGGGTGTCTTCAAGCAAGTTCTCAGGGACTTCCTGAGGAGACAGGAAGACGCCATGCAGAGACGTCCAGTCCCTTCAGCTCCACCAAATATTCTCTCTGCTCCCAATCCACCTATAGAGAGTAATGATAGAAATCACATGGCTGGAAAGGCATCTAATTCTTTGTCAGAGGAGTCAGGGAATCACAGGGAGGAAATTCCCACCATTTCTAGTTATGTGGATAAACATTTGCGTGCTGCTTGCCCCTACTCTATCCGCAGAGATTGGAGTTTGCCCTTTTGCCACCCGTTCGCTTATGAGGCCTACAGCACCACATTGTGAGACACCTAATGGTAGATCTATCCAACACGATCTCATGGCAATAGAGTGGTGCAGGGATGACGTCAAAACCCAAAAGACTAATTCGCCACTGGTCAAGATTTTCCTATAGTGTTTTATAATGTTGTTGTTTTTTAATTTATGAGTAAAATAAAGCCTGTGGTAAACGTAACTTGACAATACTTTGATGTTTTGTTCTACAACGTAAATTACACACACTCATGAAAAAGCGAATTTTGGAGCAGTTATGTTTATTTTTGAAAATGTATGTTTCTAGTGAGATAAGACAGATTGGGGAGTGAGTGCGTGCAGTTTATGTTGTAGAACAAAACGTCAAAGTATCATCAAGTTGTGATAATACCGTCTTTATTGTACTCATAAATTGAAAACCCCCATTATAAAACCCCATTGGAAAATCTCGGGCTTTGACATCATCCCTGCATCCCACTCTGTTCATAACTATTTTAAGTTTTGGCAAATTGGTGGCTAATTCGTAAGAATTTGTACATTCTCATTCATCCATTTATTGTACGATCTGTTCACACCCCATTGACTGTTAGGATTAGGGGTGGACCTTCAAGCTTACTTTTTTTCCTAAATATCATACGAATCACATTGTACAAATTCATGCGAAATCGCCAACTCTTGTTCTTAGTTTTCTCATGAGATCGATTTAAAAATCTATATGATCATTTTCCATGTCTTTCCTCTTTGCAAGTTCCCTAGTTCTCAGACACAGATCTACACTTTCAACATCGAAACATCGAATCCTGCGCAGCAGTTTAAGTAAATTAGACTGATTAAAAGTGATTAACAACTTGGAAGATGAACCATACACTTTTTGTAATTGAAGAATAAGATGGAAAAAAGTAGCTACTTTTCAATTTAAAACTTTTTAAAAACTTAAAAAAAATCACCAACAACAATAATCATAATAATAATTCATCAAAATAAATAATTATAAATAATGTATTTGTATGTGTTTGTATGAACTACTTTTTATATACTTTTGTGGTATTTTTTGGGGGAACTTTTTAACAGCCCCTGGTCACTATATGAACTATATGAACTGCATAATAATTGTTCAAAAATCTTTACTTTCTTGTTTAATGGACAAAATAAAAGCATAGCATACAGTACAGACTTTCACAGCATTCTGTCACAATAATGACAGAATTTTCTTCCTGATCCTTTAATATTATTAGAACTATTCCTTTAATGCTATTGTCTCACTTTAGAATTGCTTTTGCATTTGTGTCCATTTGTTTTTCTAATTCAAATTACATTTTTTCTTTGTGCTTCAGCTTTCCAGGTTCCATAGCTAATGACTGATCAAACTGAAAGTAGCACACACTATACACCCAGAGAAGTCAACCCAGATATCCAGTCTAATCGGTAGTTTTTTCAGAGTTATATTTCTGGATTACAGAGCAGAGATTAGCCTGAGGGGAGAGGACTGCACCACTGCTTTTGCGCATCAGTGGTCCTGCTTCCTGCATGTACCCATGAACTACCGAGCACTCTCACCTCTCCCATGCATTTTACATCACAGATACACTCTAATATTCTCTGCTTGTTGATTTATCATGTAGTGACAGAACTGTGTTTTTCATGTAGCATGGACTGAATGTGGCAAAGTACAGGTTTGGTAGTTGTCTGTGAGAGGGCTGATCATAAAGCTTCCATCTTAGCTGTGTTATTTACTCTTGACTGCTGAATAATTGTTGGGCCAGACAAAGTGAAGTTCTCTTAATGGAGTCTGTGATCATCAACACAATAGCCTGCAGATGCAATCCCTATATTGTCTTTAATCACATTTTTTCTCTGTTAATGATTTTGTTGTTGTTGTTGTGATTTTGTGTGAATTTTCTCCAAAATACAATATGCTTGTGCTGTTTTATTTAATTGCTTCTGAACCCAGCAAGCTTTATTGTTCTCTTCAGTCTGTCCATTGCTGTTAAAATGTCTACAATTAAATTTTACTCAATCAATCAATCAATCAAGCAATCATTTCTGATACTACAATTTTGTCAGGACCACTATCGTCAAATACGATGGACAATTATGCAGTTAGGATTGGCTCCCTGCACATCCATGCAGTCTAGCATGGATAAGAGCACGGAGAGCAATAACCCCCCTTAGGGTAAACAGAACAGAACCAACATGAATGTATTGCAGATATCATTAATTACAGTTTTTCTCAGTCGCTTTGGTACATTTCTCACATCACTATTTACATTTGCACAGTTAATGCAGTTCTCAAAACAATTAGTACAAACTGCAAAATAGTTGGAAACCTGCAAAAGCGTGTCACTTGCTCAAAATGGATAGCTCATTCCTCAAAAGCAAGTATTCATGTCAATGAAAGTGTCAGTGTCATCAAGATGAAAAGTCCTGACACCATTGTTTATGAACAAGATAGTCAAATGGCTTTGTCATGTTTTTATTATGACAGTTTACTCTAGTAAATGTTTTCCAATGCAAAAAAGTCAGATCTTGGTGACACTGCCTGAAATTGCTCAAGACAGCACTATATACTATTTGCAGCCATTTGAAAACTACAGTAAAGTTACGCATTACTGTATTTAGTGAGGTTACTGAGTACAAGACACTGAATATGTATGTTTCACATTTTTACTGCATACCGGTATGCTCTTTGCAATTCTAATTTGTTCACAGGATTGTGCAAAAGAAAAAATACACCCTTATTTACAACAAACATAAACATAAACTGTAAACAATATTGCAGTATATTGGAACTGAACATTCAACACACATAGTAGTGTAAATCATTCATGCACATTCCTTCTCATCAGTGAAAGCTGAAGTTCACCTGAGAGAAATTGTTCAGTTTAGCATAAATAAAATATTTTAAAAATTGTTAAATTTGCTTGACAGATTTTGACAACTAGTTCAACATTTTTGTATGTGATGACTCAAGCAATGAAATAAGGACTATTAGTTTTATATAGAATGACTATTCAGCATTCACAAGTTAATTTTGACTGACATGACATAAGCAAATGATAATGTTATAAAACAGCAGAGAGTTGTATGAAAGCAATTGATGCATGTCCAAAAGCATTTGCAATTTGGTGGAAGGAATGAGAAACTGCTACTATGATGTGCACAAATTACTAAATGTTGTGGAGGTTGAACTAACTGTTGTGCAAATGTAAATAGTGATGTGAGAAATGCACCAAAGCAACTGAGAAAAACTGTAATGCACAACATAATTAGGGAATTTTAGTCTGATTCAGGGGGCATCCGAATGCCAAATCCTGACTTTCGAGAGGAGGAGCTGGGGATGGAGGAGGGTAATTGGCTCCTGAGAAACGCGATAGCTGTTGATAATACTGAATGAGCTTATATTATGTATACAGTGATCGGCGTCGCAAGACGTGGATCAGCTGAGAGTCAGCTGATGCAAGCTTGACTAAAGTGACCTGCCAGAACTGATGCTACGCTTGATATACAAAGGCTTTTATGCTGTTCTTTTTTATCAAAGAAATACTTCAATAATTTAGATAGGCTACACTATTTCATTTTCTGATTTATTTGTGGACTTTCAAAACAAAGTAAGAGATCAGGTGGTCTAGTAATATTTTCTAACATCTACCATTTTATTACATCTAATTTCATTTCATTTTCATTTCAGTTTATTTATATAGGGACAGTACAAAAAAAAAAACATGATCCCAGTCAAAGCTGGAAAATATGTATTGTACAAAGAGAGTATAGCAAGAGCTAATTTGCATCTCAGGTCCCTAGAAAGGCTTTTCTAATAAAAAATAAATACACCAACAAATTACTACTCATAGAATAAAACTACCACAATATGTCACTTATAGACGTAGATGTCACTCAAATACCAACCAAAATTTATACCAGAAATGAGCTTACAACTGAAGCATAAAACTTCACATGCACTTTTACATTACATTACACTCTTACAGTGCATTTTAATAACATTTAAAAACTTTTACTTATACATATTACAATTTTACATACTAAAATGGTCACATTTAAATATGTGAGCAGTTCTGGTTTATTTTAAACCACCACTTTACCTTTAATGTGAAGGACTTTATTTCAGGTATTGCCTTATACTCATTTGGCAGCAGGTTCCAGAGTTTGGAGCCCTCAACAGAAAAGGGTCTTTGCCCTTGTGTGGTCTTACGAAAGTTAATCCTACAATTCCCACCTGCTGAACTCCTAGTGAATCTGCTTGTATCATCCTGTCTCTTTATCAATTTACATAAAACAGATGGTGCCTTATTGTGCAAACATTTAAAGATCAATTTTATATATGACAGGTTGTTAAAATTTTCAAAACTTAGCATATTAATTTTTTTTAAAACGTTGCAGTGATGCCATCGATTTGGCTTTTTATCCATTATTTTCAGAGCTTGATTATACACCATTTCAATTTTTTTAATTAAGGAATCACTTGTCTGACTCCAAACTGTAATACAGTATGAAATACGGGACAAGATCATTGCATGCATAAACAGATGTACTGCCTCAATTGAGATAAAATTTCTAATAAGTCTTAAACAATTTAGATTAATCCTTACCATTTTTGAGATCTTTGAGACTAATTAAAAATCCAATGTTTTTTTTTTATCTAAAAGAGTCTATCTATAAGAGACTATAAGGAGAACGAGAAATAAATTAAAGTGTTACAAAAATACATTCGTCACATACAGACTTTTATTTTGATTCCGGGGCTTTTAATTATAAAGCGGAAACCTACAGAGATCTTCCGCTACTACATCTCTATTGAGCTATCGCTGCTGAACAGTGACCTTCTCCGTGTGGTCAAGTGCACTTAAATATTAGAGGTGAGTACATTTGCTGATAATAAATGCTATAAGATTTCAGTGTGCGTAGTTTAAATAATCACTCACCATTTCAAGAAGATTGACTATCGTTTAAACCATTACTTTTTTCGTTTATTGGACCGTATATGACCAGGCCTTTCTAAGCGCCTTTAATGAACCAACATCGGCAATCAAGGCTCTCCGCAAGCTTGACATCTGAATGGCACACATGAATCGAGGCAAATGTTTTATAGTCTCAAATTTGTCCCAGTATTGGACTGTGACAAGTCCTGTTCTTTGCGCGATTCAAGTTAACTTCATACTGAATTGAGCTCGCCATGAACGCGCCTTATTCATACAGTGATAAACTGAGAATGTTTTTTGTTCTTTTTGTACCTAAAATTCTCCGTATTTTTTATTTTGATTTTAATTGGTCCTTGAATTTATGTCCTTGAAAGTACTGTTCGTGTCCTGTTAGTCTGTTGGCTATTTTATTA